ACACACACACAGAGAGAGAGAGAGAGAGAGAGAGAGAGAGAGAGAGAGAGAGAGAGAGAGAGAGAGAGAGAGAGAGAGAGAGAGAGAGAGATTATCTGGGATATGTGATTGATATGTTTTGCTTTTCATTTATGCGGGCGTAGCTGCACTGGCTTTTCATGTCGTCTTCAACTTTTCTTTGCCGACGGATCGGCAAGATCACCGATGTTGTTTCATTTCTGTACCAGGCCCTTTCTTGGGCCAGAATGATACCAGCCCTTGGAGATAAAAATAAACTTACAACCTAAAGGTATTGAAAGGGTTCCACCCAGTTCGCACAGTATTGCAGACACCAAGACTAGATCACCATACCTTCCCCAGCCCACTGTATAATTGCCCGTTAGCCCTGTGTGTTTGAACTCGCCACCTGTCCCTAAAACCATGTAGAAATGTTTTGTTTGTGTAGCTTGGGTCGTGTGGACTTGATCCATAGGTTAGCTGTTTAGGAGTCCTGAGGGTCGTTTGTAAGTCTTCTGAAGGGCCACTATGTCGGGGCTTGAACAGTCCTCGAAGAGTCAACTTGACCTTTCGTAGACTGAATAGCCCACTGTATAGTCCCCCGTTGACCCTTCTGTGTTTTGAACTCACGACCTGTCCCTAAAACCGTGTAGAAATGTTTTTGTTTGTGTAGCTTGGGTTGTGTGGACTTGATGCGTAGGTTAGCTGTTTAGGAGTCCTGAGGGTCGTTAGTCCTCGGAAGGGCCACTGCGTCGTGGCTAGAACAGTCCTCGAAGATTCAACTTGACCTTTCGTAGACTGAAAGGGAAAGGGCAGTCCATCGATCTCTGAAAGTTCAAGAGTCCCAAGTCAAACACTGAAGGGGCAAGCGAAGGGGCAGTCCCAGTCCAGTCCGTTTTTGCAGCAAGTACCAGAGTGGGACTGCACATCTTGAGGGCCTGGGACATCGACAGGCCCAGACCACCAAACGGAACAGTATAAATAAAGAGGCAGCGATCAGTCATTCACTTATTATCTGGGGAACTACGTGGAAGGGCTGCCTGAGTGCCTTGTGCGTGAAGTCCACCGGTGGTCAGTAGGAAGCCCGGAGGTGGAAGAGGGTGAGCGGCCATAGCCGCTAGTAGTTAGTAGTGTGTGTGTGCGTGGACATTCAAGGTAGATCCTAGTGCGTGTGTACATGTGTGCGAGTGAGTGTGAGTGTGAGTGTCTGATGGTGGATACAGTGTGAAGGTGGGAATTCAGACTGGCGCTCAGACGCCGTAGCTGCAAGATGTGACAAGTTGACTTGAGCTGAGTCCCTGGCTGAAGGCCATGTCTCTGAGTTTTCTGTGTGGGCGCTAGGCGCCATCTCACTCTTGTTGCTGATTCTATGTTGAGAAAGTTGTTTTGCCATTCGCACCTGTATGCATGCATGTTGCAAGTGAAGTCGAAGACAAGTCTGTTTCAGTATTGATCATATCTCATTGGATAAGGCAGAAGGTTGCAAGATTTTGTTACTAAGGTTTGGCGGAAGATACGCCGAGGTTGCGCGAAAGCATGTGTTGGCAAATATGTATAGTTTCTAGGTTTGATTTTACAGAGTGTGGTGTTTCATGTTTATAGTTCTGCGGCGTTATTTTTTTTAATCAAGGTTGCAATGTTTGTGGCGTACCATTGCATCATGCCTGTCTCATCCTAGACTGTGGAGCTGACGTAGTCGGTACTCGTCACCCCTGTTTTATAATGAATCGGATAATTACTAATCATTGCAGTGTCTTCTTTTTTTTCTTTCAATGTGGACCATATCTCTATTTATGTGGGTCATCCTTTCATAGGGCCTACGCTAATCTTCGTTCCAGTTTTGAAGATGTCCTGAAGAACCCTTAATTTTTGTGTTATGTTTTTGTCACTTTTCGAGTCTTTTTTTGTTTTCTTGATCCTGCTGAGTGGGAAATACACAACTTTGCCAATGTCTTTGTCGTAAAGACAACTGTCAGTCTCAGTGTGGTGAACCTACATGCACTTAGCAGGGAAGGATAATTTTTGCCGTCATCCACTGCGCCAAAGGGGAGGAGTTTCTTCTGTATATGCTCTGTTTGTGAATTGATCCTCTGTTCTTTAAACTTCTTTTCTTGCAGAGGAATGGTGGGAGGGCTAATCATGTGACGTACAGCACACTTGTTGATGCATATGGAAAAGCTGGCGACCTTGCGATGATGGAGCAACTGAAGGAAGAGATGTTGGAAGCAGGTTTCCCTCCAAATAAGTTCACATACAATGCCCTGGTAAAATAAAATCTTCATGTTTCTTCGACATGCTGATTCACTTTTCGAGCAAACACCCCTATGAATTTTGATCAATGAGCATAAGCTCGTGTGAGGATTCAAAACTGTGAATAGGATCAGAATAGCTGACAGGTGGCCCCCCAAATAAGTCCGCAAACAATGCACAGGCAAAATATTATCTTCATGACACCTGGCCGTAATGCTTGTGGCAAGACTGAAAACTGTGAATAACAGGATGACGTCTCTGTGAGCATATTGTGTATGGGTAGGACATATTTTTTGTAACGTTGTCATGATTTATAACAATTATTGTTTGGTTTTTTTTTTTTTTTCGGTAGAAAGGGATTGACATATTGTTTATGTCCATCCATTGCAGCTATCCTGCGAATGGCCGTGCACATGTGAACCCACATCTTGCACAGCAAAGAATACACGAAGTCAAGTATGTTGCGATCCTGGCAATGGGACGCTGGACCCGATTTCCAGCAGGTAAAGCTCCCCACCCGTACACCAGAGCAAACCGTGGGGGTATTGCTAGATGGGGATGCGCACACCACCCCTTGTAGCAGGCCTGCGCGGTTTTTCTCCCCAAGGAAAAAAAAAAACGGATCCTGGCTTTCTTGGTGTTCGATTGCCACTGAAATGAAAGAACTCGGAAAGAGAAACAGACGAAGGACGAAGAAGAAATAGGAATGGAAGAAGAAGAAGATAAACACAAGCAAGTACCAATGTCAATTTGCCTACCTCGCCATAATAATAATAAGGACACTGCAAAGCCACTCACGAGGTCCACCATAACCATCTCATACATCCCTCTCCTACTTGGTTGAGCAGGTGGCTATGGCGGACCAGAGTGAAGCTCCGATGTTCGAAGGACACTGCAAAGCTACTAAGTCCCTCATACTATGGCCGCCATGCCTAGCACTACCCCTGGGGTCTTCCTTCTAGGTTCTAACCCCAACTGGGGCCTTCCAGGTGCAGCGCCAACCAAGAAGATAAAAATGCGGACCACCATAGCCAGGTAAGCTGCCCCGTCACTCTGCTCCTTGCTCACCGTCTTCCTCTTCCTCCTCCTTCCCCGTGGTAGTGGCCTTCCTCCCTTTATACTTCCACCATATCTGAGGTGTATCCCAGGGGTCGCCTTCTTCCTCCTCCACTCAGCGGTGCCTCAGCTGAGGGGATGCTCCAGCAGCGTGACTTGAAATGAGGCGGAGAACTTCGCTTCCCGGCTAGATATATCGGTGACATGCCTCCTCGCACACTGTCTTCAAGGCTGCGAGGCGTCCAAGCCTACCCGGTGCCTCCTATATTCGAAGGGAAACATCATTGCAGTCTGATATCCTGTCCTCCGGGCTCTAGACTCAGGCTACTTGGACCGGTACCTTTTTCTCTAAGCCTACCGGGCTCTAAATTCTACTTCAGCTTTCCAAGGCACAAACGTTTTGTATTCTTCTGCCTACCTACCCGCTACTTCAGTGTTTTTGGCCTTTGCGGGCCTTTCCTACACTACTACCCTGCTGCACCCACACAACAACCCAGCGTGTCACACACACACCCATGCAATCATGCAGACAGGCAAACACACGGAAACTTAGCAATCACACATGCACACGAACTTAGAAATCTGAGCATAATATGGGAATCCCAGCATGTCACTAAAGCAAGCGGCAAACTCTGAAAACAACAGGTTTCAAAGTCTGCGATTTTGCAGGTCATTACAAAAATTAATGAAAATGAAAGAGTCTCTCTCTGCCAAACACTCTCTGGTCGCTCTTTGTCTATTGATTTATGTAAATCCCTTTCTCTGTCTGTCCCTCTTCTCCCAACTCTACCTCGCTCTTGCTCTCTTCTCCCAGCTGTCCCTTCTCCCAACTGTCGCTCTGTCCTCTATCTGCCTCTCTCTTGTCCATCTATTGCTATCTCTTCTCCCAGCTCTCTTTTTTTCCTCCTCTTTCCCTCCGCCCAGCTCTCTCGCTCTGCCTCTCCACATCCAGGCGATTCTTATCTACATCCAACTCCCTCTGCCTCCCTTCATTCTGCAGTCGCAGACACACGGTCATGCTTTTCTTTGTGGAGATGTGTGCAGTGAATATGACGAGAGAGAGAGAGAGAGAGAGAGAGAGAGAGAGAGAGAGAGAGAGAGAGAGAGAGAGAGAGAGAGAGAGAGAGCATTGGCAAAGTGTCCATGGAATGAATATGATGACCAGGGTTACCCGCCCGAACGTTCGGGGGGGGGGGTCTCTTGAACGTTCCGGTGTCCGGCTGAATGTGAGGGGGCCGAACTTCCGAAAGTTCGGCCCCCACCAAAAGCCATTTAGGGGCCTATAAAAACATATTTTATTTTTTCCTTTGGGACATCCGTTAAAATTGGAACGATACAGAGAAGATTAGCATGGCCCCTGGGGTGAAGTACCACCGCCGAAGTTGAGTTTTCTCAACGCTCAGCTTTCTATCACGTGTGGCATGGTGGGACCTAGCTCTGCCGTTGACGTATTGAGAATCTAAGGGTACAGAAATACAGGAGAATAACCTATTAGATTTGGTCGTTTTGTACATTTTTTCTTTGACGTGAAATCTGTTTTGTCCTATGCTTTGGCCCTTTCTTTTTTTTTTTTTTTTTTTTGAAATAGGTCCTTATGGACCTAGCTCCTTCTATTCTGGGGAGCGTCAGTCCGGTTCCTATTCCACCGGCAAGTCACAGAATAATACATTACAGAATAAAAACACACGCTGCCTCCCGTTCGGCCGGAGGACCCCTGAACAGCATTGATTACTCCGCCCTTGGTGGAGGATTGACTGTAAGCTTGCCTTGAGTCTCTCTTCCCTCTCAGATCTGCCCTAACAGCTCTGCCAGAAATCCTTGTTAAACCTAGGAAGAGATCCTCCCTTGCTGCCATGTGATCTACCCTCGTCTTTTTACCAATTCTTCACAAAAGCTGTGTTCCCCCCTGTTCCCCAAAACCCCTTTCTCTGCCTTTTAGTGTTATAAAACCCTAAACCCTAAMCCCTGCTTCCTCCCCTGACACTTTAATTGGTGTCGCTTGTCCCTTATTCTCTTCAATACTTGACCTCCTTGGCTGTTCATCTCTTCCCTGCTTCTCCCTCTCTTTTGCCCCAGCCCCGTTTGTATCTCAGTCCTGTCCTTGCAAAGTTAGTCTTATTTTAAGTGGGTCTGAGGTTCCCTCCCTTTGCGATTTCTTCTGCAGATCGCTCCTCCTTCCCG